GGTTGCTGTGAGCTGTGATGCCATGGCACTCCACCCAGGGGGACAGCTTGAGGCTCTGTCTCAAAAAAAAATAATAAAATAAAATAATGACAACACAGAGCTTCAGTTTCCAGGGAATTAGCAAGTTTTGTTGGTGGGCTCAGGAGATACATGCACCTGGGACAGAGAGGATGGAATTTAGCCTGGAGACTCCGGGGGGAGTTTTCTCCCATCCTCTGCTTCTGGGGCTGGGGACTGAGGGAGAGGAGCCGAGGCCCCAAAGGAGGGGAAGGGCTGAAGGGAGGAGCAGGGGCCCGCCTGGCTGGTCAGAAGGGTCTGCAGCCTCCACTGACTGGGCAGTCTCCTTCCTCGGTCCTCTCAGTGCCAGGCACTGTGCTGCATGCTGGCGACACCATGGTGAGCAAACCCAGGCAGATAAGCCCTGTGCCTTCTCAGAAGGCTGGTTTATGGGGGATTAAACTGTGATCGAATAACCATAAGCACGGATGTCAAATACCAGGTTTAAGTGCTGTAAAGGAGAGTTTAATTAAGGAAAGTGGGGGTGAGAGTACTCTCCTCAAGAGCCTTGAGCATGGTTTTAAGGCTTTGCTGCTGGAAGTTTGTTAAATTCAGAATATTCAGCCCCACCACAGACCTCCAGTATTGAAATCTGCTTTTAACATGCATTCTCAGGTAAACAGCACACACGCTAGAAAGGAATGTTCGTGTGTTTGCAATTGCTTTCAAAGTGGGAGAGACTTGATCATGTTAAAAAGCTTTTAGGGGTTAGGGTGGGGGCTCTAGGCTGGACAGCAAACACAGGATTTTTTGCCTGTTTTGTACTCAGCACCTCCTTGAACCATGCCTGACATCCTTAGGAGCTCAAGAAATGAATAGATGAACAAATCATACACTGGCTTTTGCAGGCAGTGGAGGAGGAAGAAGAGATGGACCCCCCAGACTCGGCCTCGAGGGTCTTCTGTAGCCGCATCCTGAGCATGGTGAATGCAGATGACGTCAATGCCATCATCCTGGCCCAGAAGAATATGCTGGACCGCTTTGAGAAGACCAATGAAATGCTGCTGAATTTCAACAACCTGTCCAGTGCCCGCCTTCAGCAGATGAGTGAGCGCTTCCTACACCACACGAGAACTCTGGTAGAGATGAAACGGGATTTGGACAGCATCTTCCGCCGAATCAGG